AACTTCCACATCTCAAACTGCTACCCTTGCCAACGGTTCCTCTTCTCCCATCTATGGTGTTGGTAATGTTGACACATCTTCTCTTTCTTTATCATTTGTTCTATATGTACCTAAATTTTCATTCAATTTTATGTCTGTCAGTAAATTAACTAAGACTCTTAATTGCTCTATTACATTTTTCCCTTCCTTTTGTGTTTTTCAGGATCACAAGACGGGGAAGAAGATTGGTGGGGGGCATGAGGCCGGTGGATTGTATTACCTTGACGGTGGTGGATCGTCAATTGCACTTCAGACTTCACTCACTCCTCTACAATGGCATTGTCAACTGGAACATACATCTCTCAAGGCACTCAAGATACTGGTTCCGTCTTTGAGTCATTTGTCATCTTTACAATGTGAGTCGTGTCAATATGGGAACATCGTCAGGTTCCCTTCAGTCCCATGGTTGATAGTCGTATGTTGAGTCCTTTTGCTTTGGTTCACTCAGATGTTTGGGGTCCAATTAAAATAGAGTCTTATAATGGTTATGAGTATTTTGTCACTTTTATTGATGATTGTTCAAGGACGACATGGATTTATTTAATGAAAGAAATGAGTGAATTATTTTCCATTTTTCAAAAATTCTATGCTGAAATACGTACACAATTTGGTGTTCTAATCAAAATTCTTCGTTCAGATAATGGTCGTGAATACTTTCTTACTTCCTTTCAACAGTATTTAGAACAGCATGGCATCATTCATCAAACTTCATGTGCATCCACTCCTCAGCAAAATGGGGTGGTTGAACGAAAGAACCATCATCTCCTTGAAACTGCTCGGTCTATTCTTCATCATATGAGTGTTCCTAAACGATTTTGGAGTGATGTTGTACTTACTTCTTGTTTCCTTATTAATCGGATGCCCTCCTTCATTCTTCATGGTCGGTCTCCCTTTTCTATTTTTCTCCCCACCTTGTCTCCCTCTCCCTTAACACCCCGAGTTTTTGGCTGTGTGTGCTTTGTTCACAATCTGAGTCCTGGGATAGACAAGCTGGATGCACGCTCTATTAAGTGTGTCTTTCTTGGCTACTCTCGGACCCAGGAAGGGTATAAGTGCTACAATCCCATTACTCGGAAGTGCTATGTCTGTCCTGATATCACCTTTTTTGAGTCAGTCCCCTTCTTCTTGGGGCCTGAAGTATCAGTATCTCCACCTTTGCTTCCTCTTCCTCTTCCAGTTCGTGATCCCGTTCCAGTTGTTCCAGTTGGGGCTGACCCTTCACCTCCTCCAGTGCAGATCCCTACTAAACGACCACCAATCCGGCACGTGTATACTCATCGACGACACCGGCTCCTCCTCCAGCTTCTACCTTATCTGTGGATCCTGTTGTTGCTCCTGTCCCAACACCTTCAGGACTTGATCTTCCCATTGCTTTACAAAAAAGTAAATGTATTTGTACCCTCCATCCCATTTCCAATTTTGTTTCAGTCTCTCGCCTTTCTGCTTCACATCGCCAATTTGTTTCACTATTGTCATCTATTTCTATACCTAAGAATATCCAAGAGGCTCTTACATCACCTGGGTGGCAGCAGGCAAAGGAAGAGGAACTCTCTGCCCTTCAGCATACTCAAATGTGGGAGCTCACTACTCTTCCTCCCGGTAAGCATGTTGTGGGTTATAAATGGCTGTATACTATTAAATACTTGCCAAATGGTAGTATGGAGCGTCTGAAGGCCAGACTTGTTGCTAAAGGTTATTCACAGTTGTATGGGGTGGACTATATGGAAACCTTCTCTCCAGTGGCTAAGATTGGCTCTATCCGTGTCTTAATTTCCCTGGCCGTTATGTATGATTGGCCCTTGTTTCAACTTGACATTAAAAATGCCTTCCTTCATGGTGACCTTATGGAGGAGGTATATATGGAGCAACCACCTGGGTTTGTTGCTCAGGAGGAGGATGGTAAGGTGTGCAGATTGAAAAGGGCAATTTATGGGTTGAAACAATATCCTCGTGCTTGGTTTGGGAAGTTTAGTGAAGTGGTGAAAAATTTTGGAATGAAACAATGCCAAGTTGACCACTCAGTGTTCAGCTACGATTCAAAAGCAGAAAAGATTTTATTAGTGGTCTATGTGGATGATATTGTTATAACTGGCAGTGACAAATTGAGGATTAATAAACTAAAGGTCTTTCTGCAAATTTTAAAACAAAAGACCTTGGGACATTGAAGTATTTCTTGGGTATAGAAGTTGCTAGATCAAAATAAGGTGTAAACATGTGTCAAAGAAAATATGTTCTTGATCTGTTGGATGAACATGACTGTTAGGTGCAAAACCGGCTGAAACTTCCATGAAGCCAAATGCTAAGTTAAGCAATGATACAGGGGAAATATTTGATGATCCTGGAAGATAACAGACGGTTAATGGGGAAGCTGAACTATTTGACTATCACAAGACCAGACATCTCCTTTGCAGTCAGTGTGGTGAGCCAATTTATTCAGAACCCTCGAATACCTCACTGGGATGCAATTCTTAGAATTGTAAGGTACCTGAAGGGAGCTCCAGGCCGTGGGTTATTGTACAAACCAAGAGGAAGACTTGAGGTAATTGGGTATATAAATGCAGATTGGGCAGGCTCAGTGTCAGATAGAAGATCTACTACAGGTTACTGCACATTTCTTGGAGGAAATCTTGTGACATGGAAGAGTAAGAAGCAGACGGTTGTGGCAAGGAGCAGTGCTGAAGCCGAATACAGAGCCATGGCACACACTACATGTGAATTAGTATGGCTAAGGAATCTCCTACAAGAAATCGGGTTCTCCATGGACAGACCTATGAAATTGTACTGTGACAATCAAGCTACACTCCACATCTCATCTAACCCTGTTTTTCATGAGAGAACAAAGCACATAGAGATTGATTGCCACTTTGTGAGGGAGAAAGTCCTTACTGGGGAGATAAGCACAGAACATGTGGGCTCAGGTGATCAATGGGCAAACTTGTTTACAAAAGGTTTAAACTCAGGGAGAGTGAACTATATATGTAACAAGCTGGGATTATATGACATATATTTTCCAACTTGAGGGGGAGTGTTAGAGCTAGCCAAATAAGGGTAGATTAGTCATTTTATTTCTTTTAAGTTATGTGCTTATGTGGCAGATTTAATAGAGACTTTCTGTCCCATACTTAAGTGGGGGCAGTTTAGTCTTTATACAACTAATTAGAGGCTAATGTAAAATATGTTCTTCTTCTTCTTCCTCCCTTCTCTCTACTTGTTCAAACTCCTTAGCACAGATGTTAAACAAAAATGAAGAGATTAAAAGGTTTAGATGCAAAGAAAAAGGGTGATGAAAGGAGGGGGGAGGAGCTTCAAGTTGTCATAGGGAAGATAAATCCAACCCTGACAAAAGAAGGGTCGGAGGTTAGACCAAGATCAGGGGATAATAAGGAAGAGGGAGGTCAAGCTGGTGAGAGTGGTTTTACTTTGTCTCAGCAAGTTGACAAGAAAGGGGGAGAAAGTGGAGATTATGACCTTGGTGGACAAGGAGGTTAGAATTGGCAAGAGTTTAGGGCTATTATTTTTGGGAGGCAAAGAGTTCGCTAGAAGAGCTTCCAAAAAATTGAAATGAGTAAAAGGGAACAGAAATTGAAGATGTTGCGATGGAAAGAAGAAAAAGTTTGGGATAAGGAAGATGATGGGCAGGACGAGTCGTTTGATCCTAAAGACTAGCCAATGTATGTGTGTGTGTGGGTGGGGGGATTTCTCAGTTTTTCTTTTAGTCTTGTGTCATTAAGCCTTGCTGTTGTTTAGTGGGTTTGGGTGTTATCTTAACACCCCTGTCAGTGCTGTAATCTGATTTTTATTTTATCAATAATTTTTTCTTTTATTATTCAAAAAAATAATATAAATTACAAATTGATAATGCTGACTTATTAAGTACTTAATATCACATAAAATGTATTTTCAATCTATAAAACATATTTCACGGTCAATTATGTCCAATATTTTGTTCTTGTGTCAGTTTGAAAACCCAGATTGTATCCTGCAACATAGCATTAGTGCATGACTATTCCACTTCAATGATGCTTTTCAATTTTAACTTGCCTAAATATATATATGGCATTCTATAATATTGGGTGTCTTACGACAATGGGGAACTTTATGTCCTTTACTCCCTAATGGAAGAGTGGTGGTATAACTGGGATCTGCAAGAAATGCTTACTTTTCATTTTTTTGATCGATAACTTACTTTTCATTTCTTCTATTGCTATTTGATCAATTGTTTTACAAGAAGCAGGTGTCAAACATCTAAAAAGATTTTTTTATCCCCTTGAGTTTCAAATATAATGTCCAACAAAATGATGTCTTGTAAGTTGTAATCTAAGAGGTCATTTGATAACAGCTGAGTTGGTTGAACTTAATGACTTATCTTTTGTCTTTTATCAGATAAGTAACCAAATAATAAAATATTTAGGGGTATAGTAATTAAACCAGCATGCCATTGAACCATTAACGAGCTCACAATCAACTTAGTGACTTAAAATACGAAGCAATAGGCATTCAATTCAGCCACTTATCCCTTATCAAACGACCCCTAAATATCCATATTTGTAACAATATCTAGAATCCTATACCCCAAAATAAAACGGTTTCTTACCCCTAAACTATAACTAAGACTATTGTATAAAGCACAACAGAGATCTAGAGGAGACATAAAAATGGGTATACATTACAATTAATCAAAAGATGCATCAGACCAATGTCAAACACGGATGAAGGAAAGAAAGGACAACATCATATGACCACAGCAAGGAGTTTTAGTTTACAATTAGAAGAAGTCAAATCTAATCAAACTTAAGACATAACCGAAAGCTCACAAACTCACAAGATGGCAAAGTATAACGATTAAAGACGAATGACGACAAAATCGAGCCCTAGGGGAATTCCTATTCCAATTCCAATTCTCAATTTATCAATCTCAATCATTTTCTAGACAAGCAAAAGGACGGAATTCAACAACAAACCTCATCCTCCGCATTGCAGTGGTGTTTGTAGATTAACCGAAGAAAATGACACCGCTCGAACAACTGCTGGATATCACCGTTCCGGTCAGTCGCAAACGCTAAGGCAGCTCTATGCAGCCCCTCGAGCTCGGACCGGATGGCTTTATGAAAGAACAGGAAGATAAGAATAGGAGATTTTAGAGCGGAACTCTTCAGGCAAGACTTGGAGGCAGAAGGATCGACCGGATTTACAGGACCAGCCATTAGAGGTAAACCTCCATCCATGTGCTGAAGCCCTGTTAATGGCGTCGCCATTCACCAACAGTATCAATTGTCACTTTCTAAAAAATAATCGAAAAAGACTTCCAGAGCCAGATATTCAAAACCCTAGATTTCACCAAAATTGAACTCTCTCTCGTTCGTTTCGTATTATTTTTCTTCCTTCAAGTCTTCAACGGGGGACGGAGCAAGTAAGCAAAAGAACACAAGAAAAATCACTATGGTTGATTGATAAAGAGGAAGAGTTGAAGACCGGGAAAATGGTTTACTAGCATGTTTTAGCGCAGCGCTAAACAACACCACGTGGAAACATCATCCAGCGTGTATGATCCGTGACAGGTCAGCATGACGAATAACGCGATTGAATGACACGTGTTAGTTACTGTGAGGCGATTCGGTTCTCGTAAACCTTCAATATAATACCTAATTGAACTATTGAAGTGCCTTAAATTATTAAAAAGAGTAGAGATCATTATATCATTTTTAAAATAAAGTAATTACCCTGTTTGGGCGTCATGAGAAATTGAAATCGTCCCACCTCAGTAATCCAGTTTAAAAAACTAATTGCATCCACGGCGTCATCACTAATGAATTCCTTTGGGGAAAGCCCGAAATGACCTCATTCCAATATTTTAATTAGCAACTAGAAATTGATACATGCTTTAGATGATCTTGTGCTCTAAAATTCAACAAGGATGACCACAAGGACATTTCGCTTTACAAAAAGTCCAAACAGGCCTCGTCGGGTCCAAGTGTTTGACCTGAACCTAAACCCGAATTCTAAATGCTATGAAAGTGTTTTGTAACTCTGGAGATGTATCAACCAAGCCATTTTAGTCAATATTAGTTTTGAGTAAGGATAATTTGGTAAGTTGGAAGCCTTTCTAACATGACCGCAAGGAGGCTTGGATATGCGGCGCCAAAAACTCAGAGAATGTAGAGTGTGATAAAATACTAATTGTTCTTGTGAACCATAAACATAAACATGGGTGTGAATTGATGAACGCGTCCAGCCTAAAAACGTTCTCAATAGCATAGGCCGTTGGCCCACAACAGTCAAAATTAACTCTGGAGATCGATGCTTTGAGCTCTCATGACTCGTGACTCGCTTGTCACGTGATTAACTCATGCATTCATGAATCCGGATCTTCTGTCTACCAGAATTCTGCCCACATAACATAGCAGCCACATATAGAGAATATCTCATCCATTTATATAGTATTATATAGGGGGGATATTTCCAATTCACAGGAGTAATATCTTGTGAGTAGACGTATACATAATTCTCATGGGTAGGAGATCCCGCGTCTGCATTCACAGGTTCATAAACTCTCAATCAGGGGCCATGCCATAAGCCCATAAGCCATAACTTGTGATTAGTACTTGGTCGGTTTGTCCTGACTTTTTTAACAGCGTTGTTTCCCCTTATATGCTTAACTGAAATAAATGAAAGCCCTTCTTTGCAAAAAAATAAATGACAGCATGCTTCACATCAACCTCACAGTGCATGGCAGCTCGGCATTGGAAAGCATTTCTTATACTTAATTTTATCAGTCAGAGAAAGATATTTTCAATACAGGGCTGCGATGTGCTGTGAAGTTTGTGTGAGAGCAAATCTGATTTCCATACAACTACACCAGTCGGTTCCATGATTCCTTCAGCTCATTTAATGTTTGCATGACACTTGGTATGGGTGTAGGATAAAAGATTAATCAAAAGGACAAATAAAGGACTGAGTGGGGTAACATATCCGAAAAAAGGAAGAGAAAAAAAGTAATGTCTTAGATTGTTATCCACTTTGTTTTATTCTATAATGTGTTTTCGGCCCCAATGGGCTTAGTCAACAGAATAGTCTGTGTCAGTATGGATTCAGGGGCGAAGACAATGGCATGTGAGGCCCACTGTCATTCCATGACAGCTGGCAATTCAATGGATCAATCCCATCTTCCACTTTGAGAGTAATGTTTCGGCCGTTTAACAACAGCTGAAGTGACTGAATTGAAAAGTCCATTACTTGTGAACAGGTTTTATGGAAGCTGCGGGCTTCTTATTTACTTTAGCATCTGTTTGGCATGGATGCCATTGCTTTAAAAAATGGTGATACATCAGTGTCATATTGGGAAAAAAAATGGTGTTCCTGGAAACATTAATATATTTGAAATTATTTTTTCATAAAAAATGGTGCTCTAAGTAATGCCTTAGAAATTGAGAAGGTGTGGTTTGGAGCAATGTCAAATTTGATATTTTCTCATATTGGAACTTATTGCTACCAACAAGAACGTAATGTGACAGTGACGTGGACTTTCTATAATGGGTACCAATGCTGAAAATAGGTATGGAGCACTGGTACCAAATAGAAAGTGTTGTTATTCCAAAAAATATCCTACCTAATAGCAACATTTTCAAACAAAAAAAAAAGACACCACAGCACAATACCAAACATATATTAAAACCGTAATGGGATAGATTACATACAACGAATAAATCATTTGGTTCAACAACTTCAGCGGTTCAGCCAGTATCAAATGGCATTAGTTAACCATTTCATACTGCCACCAATGGGTTGGGTGATTGGGTCTGGTTTGGGTCAAGATAGACCCCATCTTAACCCAATAAGTAAATGTTCAGAACCAGGTCCAAAGCAAATTCTGTAAGGTTTATAATTGAAACCTACATGTTAATTAAATTGACATATTTTAACGTCATAATAGGCAAATGTTAATACGTGTGGGAGCATATATATTTCAGCTTGAAACTTGAAACAATTAAAATTCATCCTTGAACCAATTATAATCGGAGCACATGCTTTAGACCAAAAACTTTAAATCGGCTTTGTTGGATCAGCCCAACCCATTGACAACCTTTACATATCCGGCGACAGCCTTCCATGAGTTAGAAATTTATTTCTTAGGGGGTGTTTTTTTTTATTTTGAGAGGAGGGGAAGTTGGTCAATGGGATTTTGGTTCCCATTGACCAAGAATCCTATGTTCATTTTTCAGATTTATATGGGGACTAAAGAAAGTTTATTTTCTTGGGTACCACTTACCTGGGTAAGTGATATCTATCTCCTAAGTGGGTAAATAATTTTTCTATCTAGAGGGAAATTGCCAACACTTGAATGGGACAAAAATGTCCCTTTTAATAATGGATTTTTATGGCTAAAATGGTCATTACCTTATTTATATGAGAAATTAAAGGACATGGGTAAGTAACTATCCGGAAAGTGAACAAGGCCTTAAATATATTAAATATTTACAAATATGTAATATGCATGGCTCCAGATATCCTATTCACAAAACACTATATCCGTGCATTAGGAACATCTCCCAATGCATAATAATATGTAAGAGGATGAGATGTTCCTCATGTGTAGCTACGATGTTATGTGGGTAGGTGTGGGTAGAGTTGTCGGATAGAAAATCTGGACTCAATATACACATGTGCAAGTAAACTATATATGATATTTGAATTTTATTTTTATGATTTGCATAAAATCTACAACAAATTTTAACTTTATATGGATAGATGAGATAAAGGGTCATGATTTTATGTGGAAATCAATGTCTTTCATAGAATAATTGAGAAATCTCAGCTCGTGAGACCTGATATCATAATAGGACAACATGAGATGTGGTGTGGGAAGTTTATGATTTTGGCTATTTATGGAGGTTTGTTGCAATCTATCCATTGGTTGAGATTCGAGAAACAAAACTACAATAGTAAAATTGAAATATATAATTCTTTCATTGGTACCATTGTTCGGTAGTGTGAATGTATTGTAGGACTGTTTTAGTCCTGTCCAATAGAATGCAGAATTCTGTTTTATATGAAGAGTTTTCGTTCATAAAATAGCATAAATAAGGATGGGCCACACCCCCCATTTATTGAACATTTATGGGAAGGGCTCGATATAATTCAAATATTTAATATATTACACCTCAAGTTAGGAAAGAATCAAGCCCGGTACTCGACAATCCTGTGTAGGCTTATAAAATTGTTGGCAAAGACGTCTTCCTCAGTGACCCACATAGCGGTGGAATTGCTTAGATGAGTCATTTGAGAGAGAAAGTTTGATGATCTGTCAATGTCACCCTCTTTCTATCAAGGTTTTAGCCCAAAAATTCCAATCATGTTAAGAAAGGATGAGAAAGAGTTTGATGATGTGGAGAATCTCAAGATCCAGGTAGGGGTGTCAATTAGACTGGATTTGGTTCAATCCGATCCAGTTCAATGTGATTCCATTATAAATGGACCGGGTCCAATCAAATACATTGAATGTTTTGGAAATTTGGATTGGTCCAATTCAATGTTTGGACCGTTTTATCTGTTCAAATTCATTTTGATTTAAATTGATTTCAATCCAAATCCGGTCCATTGACATATGTATTCTTATCTTATATCAATGGATTAGATATTGGCTTAATCCAACCCAATTTAATATAAATTTGTTACAGAAGGACCAGATTCAATCCAATTTAATAAATTTTTTGGACCGTATTGGTTCAATCCAATATGTCTTGTTGATCCGTCCAATCTATCCAAATTAATTTTGGACTGAACGAGGTCCAATCTAAACCGGTCCATTGACACCCTTGGATCCAGGTAACTAGTCGTCAACCTTCTCTTATCTTCATCCCTAAAAAATGAAAGGAGGATGTCAATGGAATCATGTAAGCATAATTGGGTTTTGGTCAGATTTGGTTTGAGGTCAACCCGTATCAAATCCAACATGTTGACATGGTAGAATTGAAATTTTCGTTGAGAATGGTGCTATTTTAAGGGGGCCATTGGTGTAATGGTAAAATGACATCTCAGGCGGCAAGCATGAGAATGTGGGTTTGAAATTGAATAGGAATGAAAATGGATCTAATCGGATTTGAATTAGGGTATATCCAAATCCGATTCAATACCGTATAGATTCGATCAGATCTCATAAATATTGATTCGAATTTAAATTCGATCAGGATGTTGGATATCTAAATATGATCCAACCTGGATTCAATTTTATTTTTTAATCAATAAATTATTAAAAAGAAAAGAAAATATAACAGTCTAAATAAAGAAAAAAATTACAAGTATTTTTTCAACTTTTTTTTATCATATATACGTGTATTTTATAAAAAAAAAATAAATAACATAAAAATTTGCAAAAATTAATACAATATAATAACATATTTATCAATAAATAAATAACATATTATACTTTTTTAGATCAGATGGGGTGATCCGAATATGATC